TATATGATGTAAAGGGGGAAATAACAAGGGGGAATTTCAAATAGAAGAGTGAAGACATTATCACTTACCTTAACGCGATTGTTTCACTTACTTGAACAAGATTGATAAAATTGGTTTACTTTTAATGGAAATCACAAAGGATTCGGTAATTTCAATTTTGAAAACGTTTGAAAGGCTTCAGGTTGGAGAGTTGGAGAGAAGAGAAGGTAGAAAGGCAGAGTCACTAGTGTTTCTCGCCGAATCGATTCGCACTCGATTGAAATCTCAAAACGTCTTTCTGATCCTTCTCAGAGTATATTATAGTACGATTGTCTCCATCCAAATGGTGTTATACGATTTGAATAGCTTCGTAGAAGCTGTCTGGTATATACTACAAAAAAGACACTGTGTGAAATAAAAGTCTCCAGCTGGATAATTCTGTCGTGTCGCATTTCATCGTGTCATCTCATATCATCTCATATCGCATTCCATTCCCTTCTCGTCCATTAATTTTGTCAGAGCATTCCAAAGAACCGAAGAAAGCTCCCACAACTAAAGTTTATTGCACCAGCCTATCCATTGCCAGCAGTATTCACATGTATTAAGTATTCCCACTCCGTTTGTATTAAACCTACCTCCAACACATCCCTTCCCACTATTAAGTCTCATTATAAAATTTATTCGTTGCATCATTCTTTTCGTTCAGAGTCCTCCAACAGTCACAATTCACAATCGAGAATCGCTGGCGATTCAGCAATAAAAGGGGTTTGTTAGCCAAAACTAAGCTCTGCACGACAATTGTTAGTGCAAGCACGCTAGATTAGTATTGATCCGTAGACATACCGGCATAAACGGGAGCTTGCCAAGCCTTAGCTTTAGGTCTTGCTTTTCCCTCTCCAGCACCTTTACCTTTTCCCTCGCTACTTTTTCCACTACTAGTTTTCGTATTGATACTAACGCGATCTCCTTCTCGTCCTCCCATTGACGACAAAGGAATTCCATTATTCACTACCGTTGCTACTCTTTCTACGCCATATATTACGCCTCCATTTCCAACCGGTAGATTTGCCATTGTATCACCCGCCACCGAAGCGCACGCTTCTGCCGCGGCTCTCTGGCTTGCTAGGCGCAATTGATCAAAACCAAAGTTCCACTGGTCTTCTGTAATTCGAGTTTCGCAGTGTATTTCTCCTTTTTCTGTATTGCTTTCTCCAGAATGATCTCTCAGGCCACAGTTCTCAGTCAAGATGGCGTATATCCTCTCTTGGACTTCCGTTGCTGATGGTCTTTCATCTGGCTCGGGCGAGAGCATTCTTTGAGAGATCGCAATCAATTGAGAAACGCCTCTAAAGATTTTGTCCTCTTTTTTCGTGGCGTCTTTGAGAAGCGTATTCATCCAGCTGTCGACTTGTGCCAAGTTTTTATGGAAGCTGGAATCTGGCATTCCTCCACCGCGACCCGGAGTTTTGTTCTTAGATGATCGATGAGAGGCAAAATTCCTTGTGGCTCGCTTCATAAGAAATGTTATAATTTCAATGAAAATGGCCCCTAAAGCAAAAATATCTGCTTTTTGGGGGTCATGTCTGCCAACTCTGCTCTGTATCCTGGTTTGCGTCGGACCTGAGCCTTCTGATTGTGAGCTGGTTGAAGTGGTATGGATTGACGAAGAATCATTTCCCAAGGACGTTGAAGCGGTTTGAGACATAGACTCACTCGGAACACGAGCTGAACGACTAGAAGCCGGTGGTCGCGACGACACTATCCGGGTATTGGGGAGGCTGGATGTAGAAGTTGCTGTATAATGGTGCTGTTCTGGGGCAGAGTAATCGTAGGTCTCTTTATCAAATCCTCCTTTCTCCCCAGTTGAGAGCTGTGTAGGGAAAACACCAGAATCACCTAGAAATATATGATTGTCAAGGTCGAGCATCACATTTGAGGGCTTTATATTACGATGCGAAAGTCCAGTTTTATGGAGAAAAGACAGAGCACCGGCTAGACAGTGAAGCCAGTTTAGAATGAGGATACGGCGATCCTGCTTTGCTAAAATCTTGAAAGATTGAGGGATTATTGTGAGAAAAGATTTGAGCGAGTTGACGTTGGCCGGAGTCAAGAGTAGGTAGCCTTTATCCTGGTGTATATAAGAAGCCCACAAGGAAGTAAAATGTGTATGTTCAACACCTTTCATTGCCTGAATGCCCGAGAGAAATTCCTCATGTAGCATTCGGTCTGGCGAAGTGCCTAAGAGTACTCGTCGGCGTAGAAAGACAGTGTCTGGCCTACCAGGTAAATGGACTTGGTCAACACTGTTCGGCAGAAGACTAGTTACTGATCTAGCGGGTCTCTTCTCTACTGGCTCTAGCGGTACCACTTCTACATCATCGTAGTAAATATGTTCGCCTTTAGCAATATATCTAAGCAGGTAGTTGAATTGGCGCTGGAAAAACTTCTTCTCCAATTTTTCGTTCCTATCGTAGGTCAATTGTAGCCTCCCAACTTGGTCCATGGGTATTGGCAAATCATCATCGCCCCAAGAATCGTCGATGACTCCAAATATTTGATCTGGCACGCCCAATTCCACCAAGATCAAAAATATCTTTTTGGCTTTCTCTTCAATCCATTCCATATACGTGTCATCGGTCAAGCCGTCGCCAAAGCCTAATGGCTCGTCTAGACGCTCTTGCTCGTCTGGACGTAATTTTGATGACACAAATTGCCGTGTAACAGTGGTTTGGATTCTTTCCTCATCCCACCACATTGTAGGCATATCGTCTAAGATTCCATTCGAAGTCCGGGGGACACCAGCACCGGCAAAGCTAGCATATATCTGAGGGTTTGTACTAGCTTGTTGCTTTCGATTCATAACCATGGAACTTCTTCTATAGTCCATGGCTAGAGTTTTCAGAAATTTTAACAAGTTGTTGAAGATCGAGTACAAAGGTAGAGTTGTTGCAATTGGCAGATAACAAGCTAGTGATAACAAGCTAGTGATAACAAGCTGGATGTAATCTATTGGCAACAGTGCGAAAACGGGAACGAGGATCAGATGGTGAGGGGCGAAAACCTGAGAGAATCCCAGCTAAAAGGCATATATTCCACTTTTGATTGATCGCGTGGGTGAGACTGAAAGTCCTGGAGAAGATTTAGTGGGTTTCAGTGCATTGGATGCAATCCTCAATCGCATGAACTGCTTGATAGTGCAATAAATTGAATTTATCGAAATGGGTAAGCAATAGGTTTATCGCTATCCTTGCAATCTTGTCCGGGTGCTAAGGCATAGCGTGGTGACGAGGCTCCTTATCAAAGTTTATTTGACAGCAAATATTGAGTGAGACAAGCCTTATTTGTGTATAGTATTACCAAGGTGATCTAAAGTCTTGGTATGTATCTGCATTGTGCAGTATCGCTGTGGTTGAATTTTTTTGGGTTACTCAAGTCGTAAGTAGACCCGGGATTTGCAGCTTGTCTAGACGGAAACAATGTTATATGTCGATACAATAGAAGAGCGTTGCGAAGCATGAATCATCTAAACGGCAAGAACGATTTCCAGATATCTGCGTTGATATGACAGATCATGTTTGTGTATGACTTGAAAATGAGCTGTACTATCTCCCTGGCGGGGTTGAAGAAATACAAGACTCAAAAAGCTCACTGACGAGAAGAACTCGTTGTTGAGATCAATTTTGCCACGAGGCGTTTCTGCGGTTATCTACAGGACAATATCAATGCCATGCTGCTGGGGGATGTCTCATTGCATGCGGAGTATATGATTGGCAGTATACAAACAATCCTCCGTTTTATTTCGCAAAATGAGCCTTCGTGTACCATTTCCTATTCAAACTATTGAAAGATCCTTCGAGAGTCTGGAAGGATCTTTGGTTTGGTGTGCTTTCGGGTAGGTGTCTCGTGTTTGATTCATTCAAACAACTCTGGAAGACTTCTGCTTCAAATTTGTGTAAATGGTCCCGAGGTCACGATAAGATTTGACAGTACCTACAGAGTAAATGTACTTGGATACGTGGGGGTCACAGAACATGTGGGTGGTCGATCATGAATTTCGCAGGGGCTCGCAGCAACGAGTCATCTTGCAAGGCTGAGTTGTAGATCCTTTTCTTCAAATTCGTTGCTGTAATAGATAGAAGGATAGGCAGTTTTGATTCCAGAGCGGAGTGTCAAGTTCCTCCCTACAATCCATTCTCTGTTGGCACAAAGACTGATCAAGATAGGCCAAAGTATCCATTTGTGGTACCGTTCCACGTACCGAACCGAGGCCCTATCTCCGGGTATTTATGTGCCACCCCACGAAGGATACGTTGATTGAGCTTCCTGATAGGTATGAAATAATCGGTCGAGAAGAAACCGGCATCATCATGATAATCAATTGAGACCAACTTTGCGCGGCGGCTCATCATGTCGATACTGGGATATTGTCAGTCAGGTATGAAAAGATAAAGGCAGTTGACCCGAAAACATATTCTCCACTCGGAATCAGACCGGGTTGCAGTCATACGGCAGTGAAAGAACCGTCGGATATGTACCACGGGAGGTTGATGTAAGATATGTGATCAGCCGTAGACAAGTTGTAATTTAGAGAAGCTGAACCATAGCGAGGACCTGAGATTAATTTCCCGTAAGAACCGAATGATATTCTGTAACGCTCCATTACGATATTGGTGTGCATCACACTCGCAATCTGGATGAGTGATCGGAGAAGGAAAAGCATTGAATGTCATTCGAGTTTGGATATTCTATTCCTGCATCATTTTCAATCCATTCACAGAGAATCATTGTGTGGTAGGTGAGAAGAATATCTGATGCAGAAAGTTGCTCTAATCCAATGCGTAGGAAAGTTGTTGAATACACTTTTGCTACTCGTTTGGAAAATCACCACCGAGTTTCACTCTCTCTTGCCTAGCACAGATGGCACGTGATCTGACACACCAGGTCTTCCTATTTCATGTTAATAATACATGCACCTACTATATCCAATTCAAGTGCATGAGAGTCATTGCTCGATTCATCAATTTTGGGCGATTCTCATATATTTCCCATCTATGGTTGATGATTCTATATTATGTATCAAAATATGTCCCAATCTAACGCCCTGCCATTCTGGAGTCATTATCCTCCAGAATTATAAATGAGCCTTCAAGAACGCAAAATTACAGACCGTGGGTATCGATTTCCATCCAATATTATCGTGTGCCCAAGTTTGCCCATTCCATAACGCCAATGCTAAAATACCAATATTCGCTGGCTTTCGCCAATGAATGGAACCCGTTCTCCAGCGTTTCTCTCCACCTATTACACTATGATCTGGTCGTTGTTCAACAGATATAGATCCTGCGATGCAACCAAAGCCTACTCTTATTGTACCAAGTCTCTTTGGAGGGTATCAAATGTTTGAATTTGAGCCTTCAAACCATCGTTAATAAGATCTAAGCAAAGTCGAGATGCTGTGCTTGTGTGAGCATGTATACTGGAGAATCATCATAGTTGAAGATTGTACTAACGTCTAGGGACTTCCTCAAGAAGCCAACCGTTTTCCAAAGCCTCTACAGCTGCTTCCAATCTTGCAGATTGATAACAGTGATACTCCTTCTGCAATGCCAACATCCTTTCCCAGCATTCTGCATCGGACTCTTTTGGACTGGCCAAAACCCGTGACCTCAAAATATCCGGAAGTCCACTGGGATTTCGGGCGAGTGGTGAAGAGCTTTGACTGTCTCTTCCAGGAGTCGAAGGTGTGCTACGGAGTTCTCTTTCGAAGCTTCCTTCTCGTGAAGATTGTGTCGAAGACATGATTGGACGATATCGAAGCCACGTGATGGTGACAGTGCGGATATTGAAGAGCGTTGGGATTATGTTCCGAGATACTGTATTGGTTTTCGGGAAAGCCAAAAGCATACTCCAATGTTGTAAATGGAAAAAAAGTATTGTGTCAAGCACAAAAAGCAAAGCAAGACGGTTCAGCATGGCTGGCACTTACCTTTATATGCCTAAGAATTTTTGATTGAGTATCCACTCCCGAATGTCCCGAGCTTTTTATGGCATATTGATGACCACTGCCTCGATCATTCTCTCATTTCATTGCATGAATAGCAGAGCATAGCAAATGCCGGAGTATGATTTAGAGCTTAATTTTTCTGCTACCCAATGATCACCAGGCGCACCAGCCAGACGCGTATGACAGCAGATGCGGATAAGCATATGAAATGACTCAGGTTATTGCAGGCCATCTAAAATTGAGGGAGGGCTGTCGCGGGAAGGCTGCTTGGGGTTGTCAGCGGTTAGCATGTAACATTGTCGCACTGAAAGAAGTCGGTCAGCTCAATGGTCTACTCTATCAAGTTGGCCATAACGGCAAGTAGTATTCTGGGAGTGACCAAGAAGACAACTATCGTGTAGTATTATCTCCGTTTTCATCTGAAAGTGTTTAAGATTTCGACTTTGGATGGTGTGTTTGAGCTTTGAAGACGACAGGAGCCAAGGATGCAAGACGGTTTGTATGCATGCTTTTCGGCAAATGAGATATTTAAGTGGGGGGAAACCAGCCAGCCATCACTCAAAGGTGTGAGTTTTCTCATAACATTCTCTCGAACAAGCTTTTTGAGTTTTTGAATATCCACAAAAGGTTATAAAAGTGGTCATGAATATATGAACGGCCATGTCGATGACCTCAATTTTATAGAAATTTTCCATGTAACTGACTAATGATACCGCACGACATACAGTTAACCACGATTTTGCGGATTACAAGTGTGCTTTGTGCCTCTGAGAATTTTGAATCACAACGACTGATGACAGCGACGAGAACTCCGGCGCCATGTATGTCCATCAGATTTCAATCCGTTTCGTGGACTCCAACTCCCCGATGCCGAGAACACTCATCCTTTTGCATATACACGGTACAGCACGAGGATACATGCAATGCTCAGCGTACATATCACGCCACACGGCAGGTGTTCGTAGATCCGCTAACAGGCATGCAAATTCAATGCAGCACACCAAGTTTTCTTTCTCAGAAAATAGAAAAGAGAGTTACGGTCACTACCCGAAGAACTCCCGGCCCACGCAAACAATCTCGAATCATTGTTGTTACCAGGGAATCGATGTGTCGGTTTCACAATGCTATGTAGGATGCATCTATCCGTCCAGTCAAACCTTCGCCCGAGACTTTGTGTACATTGGATATCCCTGGCTTCTGGATATCAAAAATCGATTCCCTTTTACATTAATCATGAACATCGAATCTTGACCTCATAATCGATCGCGCATTTTAAACTTTTTTCGTATGGATCAATGTTTTGGCCGCAGCAAGATTTGATGATATTGCATGAGGAACTGCTGAGATGAGATTATCAAAAGAACGACTTCATTGTCTCCTATTTGACTCGGTCAGTCAAAGCTGATACCGGTACTGACTTCGGACCTACGAGTAGTGACTGCTGAGTTTTCTGTCCCGCGTGATAAACTGGTTCCTGGTGGATTAGCAAAAACAAAAACTTTAATGGATTGATCCCGGCCTAACGGACGGGATATACTGATTCTGTTCCGGGCAAGTCATGGTCGGCGGAGCAATCATTGAGTGTGTTACAGTGAATCGTCGTTTCAGCGAAGTTTTGGTCCCTGATCAGCAAGCACTATCTATGTGAACAAAATGTACGTCAAAGCGAATTAGAAATTCAAAAAATAATTCTTTCCGGTACGGGGAATTGAACCCCGGTCTCCCGCGACCTTTTTGAAGCTCGAGAGCTTTCAATGAGAGGCGGAAATGCTAGCCACTACACCATGCCGGATTATCTGCGATATTTGATGGAAGAACGACTTTCGTGCTAGCTCATGTACTTCATGTTTGATCGATCAAAAAAAAGCAGAGATTTAGGCGAGTATCACGTGAGCATTAGCTACTTGGCGAGAGCTGAAAGGTGAATTCAGTGTTTACGATGTAGTTTTATAAAATACTATAGATATTTTATCCTAATAGGAAAAAGAGACGCACAAGTGAAATCGTATTGCAAAGGGGCAATACTACATTGGTTTTCTTGTACCTGGCATTCTCCCAACTCGATGATTGAAATCAAAATCCATCCTTACGTATCTGAACCGTTCAAACCGAAAACTGAAGGATCATACATAGACTTGAGCAACGAAACTTTGAGCCTCTTTTAGCTTCTCGTCCCTCTGTTCCCTCCTAGTGGAAACTCTAACGTTCGAGAATCTGATATCTTTGAAGTCTTAAATGCCTTGTTCAATCGATATAAATCAGAATATGATCATTATCTTGTTGATTTATTGATTATCTCAATGGTATTTCAGGAGGTTCACTAAGCAAATATCTTCCGATTTTATGGCTCTACTTGCTCCAGTATTTGGTTGATTGCTGTTATATTGATACTGGAAGGAGCGAATCCCTTGGCGCTCACACCCAAGATTGATTTCCTAGAATACTGCATATCCCTCAGTATAGTTGAAGATACCTCTAATTCGACTACTCATGTTGGTCATTCAAAGGTGTAGTCTAATGATATCGATGTTTTGCTGTAATATTTTCCTAGAATTTTGGATGATCAAGGGCATATCCTTTCGTTGACTCGGATTAGAAATATCTCTACATCTTTGAGGGAAAGAGCTCCTAGAGATAAATGCTTTCTCGTCTATCGATGTTGGTCCTCAAATTAGTGAACTTGAAGAAGGAGAATGACTATGCCTTATGTACTCATTTTTACATTCGGATCTATGAATAATATCTTTATCTAATGGTATTAAATCGCCACTCCATCCCAGTTATGCTTTGCCCATTTTTCCCTCTTTGAATCATTACCGATGAAGTCAAACGACAGTAAAAATACTATCTTCGTTCTCCTCGTTAGGTGGTTCATAAAACTCCCAATCTGGTATCTGTATCAGAGATACTGCTTCGTTCACTTTAAATCAGTATCTAAAAAAGACCTACCCTCAACGAACCCGACTCACTCATACCGTTCTTTTCCTTCTCCGGTGAACCTAGATATAAATTTGTGGTATGACAAACTGAACTGATGTAGAGGTTCAGAGAACAGAAACATCTAGAAACCCAGTTTCATAGGTCAGACCGCAAGCAGAGTACGGATTGAAAAGTTTTTCCATGCTGATGGGCCGACTAAATTCAAGGTCGCCTAGTCATAGAATTCACCCTCAAGAGTGAGTATTCGACCACATTTTTAACAGAGATCCACCGCTTTCAAGAACACAACCAACTCTAAGGACGGGCAAGCAGAATATGTATGCTGTCAGTGAACAAGAAAAAGAAAGTTAGGAACACTCAGGAAAGCACAACGAATGTTGTCTCGAGGGATCATGCATACTAACAAACAGAAACACTTGCCCACGTCCGACTTCTAAACGAACTACGATCATATAGGCGGGTCTTTCATGTTTACCTATCAGAATGGGCACTTTTACCGCTCTCACGCTCCCTTAGAACGGTCTCAGCAGAATGAATCAGAGAGGTCTTTTTCACAATCATAATAAAATATAAAGTTTTCATTCCTAAAAGATCATCAATGGGTGTGTGAACTGATGGGAGAGTGCAAAAATAAACCTGTGAATATCTTTAATATATCAAATCATTCATTTTAAGAATTGTTATAATTCTTGTTTAGAAATAGAATAATCAAGGTGTGAATTCTGATATTAAACAATTAAAGAATGAATTTAGTAGAAATATTGAAATTTGAGAAGTGTTCAGTCAATCCAAATACTTAACTGGTGTATTAAAACCTGGATTCAAGACTAATTTCATGCTTAAAAAAAGTTGACGACAGCAAGGTCAAGATAGAAAGATAGGAAAGATTCAAGTTTAGCGAATGAGGGAATAATGACCAATAATAACCTATTACAAACATTTAGAAGCAAGACCGACTTTTCATGATTTTGATTCAAATTTACTGGAAACTATTTACATAAAGAGGAGATTCATCCAATGCAGTAAATATTATCCCCTCGTCTCCAGCCTATATCACAAAAAATCCGTCCTCTAAAAGTAGTTATCTAAAGACATCATCCTAATATGGCGGATGTGAGATTACATGAAGACGACCTTGGTAGACATCCCATACTTATGGGTTTGACATTTAACCTCTTCAAAGATCAGAAAGTGACTCCCCATCAACACTGTATATCCAAAGCCTATATTGCCCAATTGATCCACTCCTATGTATGCGTGAATATGAATTGATTATCCAATGCAAGTAGATGCATAAAACGCCATTGCCTCCGAGCCCAAACTACATGTAAATCATCGCTCTCATGTAATCGTTCATTATTCAAATCTCAATCAAAAGGTCATAACTTGTGACGAATAATGCAATCAAAGAGTGTTTACCACCAATTCCCCACACCGCCCAAGGTATTTGCATCTGGTCCTTGTTGGCCTATTTGACTTTGGAAATCCCTCGCCAAATCATCCCAGCCAACCCAGCCAGGATCGCCATCAATGGCATTCATGTCAAGATCTAGTAAGGCATTGTCATCCATCAACCACGATATTTGAGTCTGGCCTTGTAATTGTTGTTGCTGTTGCTGCATTTGAAGTTGAAGTTGTATCTGCTCGGGCGCTAGCATACCCATTCCTACTACCTGTGAAGAAACATCCATGCCAAAATCGTTATTGAGGTCTTGTTGTTGCTCCCTATAATGTGAATTTTGTTTCGCTTCCAATATCGGTACGTTGGTCGCATCATGCATTGACGTTTGAGCTCTGCGTATGGCGACAGGACAATCGTGAGGGGCTCCTTCCCAATGATCTTCATCGTTTCCTTCTTCCATCGAGCTCAAATTTTCTTCTCGCTTTCTTCGAGCTCTTGCCATGAGTTTTCGCATGGGTTGCCAAAACATACCGCGTTTGCTGCTACCAACAGCAGAAC